AGTAAGACTCTAACAGGTATTTTACATTGTTTCTCAATGAAATGGTTAAATATGTGCTGTGAGTGCTGCTGTTAAATCAAGTGACTCATACAGAGAAAACAGATGTGCCCGTACAGCAGATAGTGTACCTAGGTCACGGTGTTGTTTGTTGGTCCCAAAGTTCCTGTTGGTTTTTATTGCGACATTTCATACATTCCAGTGGATTTACTTAATACAGCCAAGTGCACATAACTGTCGAAAATGTGTGCAACGCAGTTGACTTACTGTTACATTTTGTTAACATCTTTATTGTATTATTATTTTATTTATTTTATATTTTTTATTTTGTATCTATACTTACCGTGTTGTCTTTTTAGCCATCCCCACAGGCAACTATTTAATGCTGGAAGTCATATATTTTGGCAGTGATGTTTTTTAAACTAGATTCATCCTGTAAGTAAGCGGAGATTGCTGGGGAAGTGGTTAGATGTGATTAAAGTGTCATTTTGAGCGTGTTAGAGAACATGTGGTGTAAAACCATAGAAAACTGGATTAATGGTTTGATTAGGGTAGGGCTTGTTTCAGCCCGTAAGCAAATGATCAGTTGAGACTCTCATGTTTGAACACCAGTGTCCTTGACATCGTTGTGCTGTCACTCTATGGCATCAGTTTTATTCTGTATAAAGGATATTCTTGATCATTCGACTCAAGATTTCCAACTTCCACTTCAAGTCAACCATCAAACAGCATAACGGTTAAATGTTTATCATCATACGCCTCTTCTTTCGATTAAATAAATGCTGCACATTTAAGACCTGACCTATATTTTCCTTGTGCTGTAAACCTTTATGACCTTAAAAAAGGAGTTTTCAGTCTTAAGTGGTTGACCAGATTTTAACTCTTGATGGCCAGGTGTCGGTCTCAGAAAACTAGATTACAAAAGTAGCTGGATAACTCCTGATAACTCCATGTGTCTGATTTGGGAGGCTTGTGAGGTCTTACTTATTATCCAGATAAGAAAGTCATTTTTTTTTTCTAAATCAAAAACATGCAACAGATATTCCACGCATTTTGGCCTTCTTCCGGGAGTTTGTTGTCTAAATAATGGACTTTGTGGTCTGATCCAAGCATGTTGCATGAAACAAGTCCAAGGACTTTTGAATCCGCAAATAGAATAAACAAATAGACATGAAAATGTGTGTGTGCCCTGTGTGGTGTTTCTTATGGAACGAATCACACCATTTAGTCTGACAAGCTGACAAAGCCCAGTGTCTACCAAAAAAAGCACATGTATAAAAAGTGTACCTGTTTTATCACTTTGAGTAAGCCCACCACTGCGGCTGTTTGATCAGTGGGTGGTTTGATTTAGATTGAACAATGGGAAAGCTGTGGGGCCAAAGTGGTGATTTGATTTTAACATTTAAATCAAATGCCGCACTGTGTGTGATTCGGAGGTGTTAACGGTGAAAATTGGGATGTTAAAAGGATCACCAACAAATTTCACCACATGATTGGCCGCCACCCACTCATCTCAGTTTAACTGTAACTTGACCTTTGGACGGATGAGTCTACATCAAGTGGACCTGAATCTGCAGAAGTTAGCCTTCCTCAGTCATCAGTCGACTTCATTTGCTGAGTGTTGCTGTACTTTTGGCTGCTCTGCTCTGTGAAACAGATTTGTTCAATAGGTGAATTTGTTGTCATGATTATTTTCTGTCAGTAATGATTCTTGGTAATTTAATGTTTCTCAGGGCAATTTTTTATTTTTTTATTTTTTAGAAGTCAGGTCATTCTTTTTGTGCTCCTGTTTGCTCGTGTGTTTTCTTTAATGAAAAGTTGTTGTTTTTTGACTCTACATTGCTTTTCGTGCCTTATTGTGGCACGATCAACTAGAAGTTACAGCCATATTTGGTACAGTTGGATGCATTTGGTTAAGGATTTTATGATGTAAGAACTTTCTGTTCCGTTTTCACGTCAGTATTTTGCGTCAGTGTAAGTGGGATTTACATTTTCTTGGTAAACCATGTCTTTTTCCACAGGAACAAAGCTGATGTGTTGAGGGTTAGTTAGCTGACTGTGTTTAATCTGTGGCCCTTTCACACTGAGGAAAGTGTTACTTGTTGATTGTGTGAGCACTAGTTTTGCATGTTGTTCATATACAAGTTAACAGTGGTTGACCGTCTCTCTTTGTCTTTTTGGGTTCACAGTGAGGAGCTGGAGCGTGCTCAGTGAGCTTGGGAAGACGTCAACATGGCTGTCTCCACTCAACTGGGTTTACTGCTTTGGAAGAACTTCACCTACCGACGGAGACAGACTGTAAGTAGGAGTGCTTCAAATTACTGACTCATAAGAACAATGGACTGGATGAGTACACAGTATTACTTTATTGTTTTTAATTCATTCTTATTTTTTCCCATTCCTTATGATTGTTTCTTCGAACTGAGGTTTGTTATTATTCAGTGTTGTGTTATTTCAGTTTATTTGATCCACAAAAAATACTTCTACATTTAAAATGTTCTCAGTTATATATGCTGCTAGGCAGAACCATAACCTTACATTGCATTGACCTCTTCTTTTACGTTAGCAGTGCTAATAATGTAATCACATGTCCACAAGTCTAAAGACTAAAAACCAAAATGGAAGGCATTGTTTCTTCTGTACAATGTCCCCTGAATGCTTTGTCCCAGTCACATTTTCCGTGGATTGACTTTGAATCAGAGTTGATTTCCAGTACCATATGAGTAGTCATAAGGGCATTACAAAGGCTTTCTATATGTTATGGTTCCACTGCGTATGCAGACCAAAAAAAAGGGAAATTATGTAATTCTCTCCCGAGCCACTTGGACTGAAAAGCATTACAGTTTACAGATTACAGTGAGTCAGTCAAAGATGTGATGATGACACATTCACATGTCAGGTCAGGTTGATGCCCACTCAAAGTTATGTAAATCAAATTCAGTTCCAAGCCGTAGAGCTTCATTGTGTGTGAGGAGACTCATCTGCACACAATTAAACCATTTGACCATCAAGCAGAAACCCCTCCTCAAAGTGACGGCTGTGGCTGCTTGACATTCAGTCCACTTATTCCTAACAAAGGGACACAGTGCGTTTTCTAAGACAACGTGTTTATTCTTTATCCCCACACTCCATGTTTGCCATACTGGTTAAGTCTGCAATACTGGCAGCTGAAGTAGAGGGGCCATATGGAACAGATGGACAAACTCTTAGTCCACTAAACCCTGCAGACCTCTCTTACTGTCCCCTTATTAACCCATATACTTTACCCCAGACTCATTGTAGGATTACTGTTTTCAAATGACAACAGCTGACAGCCCCCTCCACACACACTCTGCTATTCTAATGCTGTAGAGATTACCTTAGTTGAACTGGAAATACACAAAAACTGCAAAGCTCAGTTTTGCGATGATTAACTCATTTGTTTCATGAGTTTTTATTTCCCAGGAGTGTTGACCCTTTTATTTGCTTGATTAACTTCAGCCATCTTTCTTTTTTGTCTTCCTTTCTTAGATCCAGCTGCTGATTGAGATCATCTGGCCCCTTTTCATCTTCTTTATCCTGATCTCAGTCCGAATGCATTATCCACCCTACGAGCAACATGAATGTAAGCAGACATGGAGAGAGTTTTTTACTTAATTCTCATCTAATTCAAGAATTCTGTTTTATTACTTTCTTGAGATTTTCAGGTTTCCACCATCTGAAGTTTAAAAGAATTTACATTTGCAGCAGTTGTATTAAAGGTTTAAAGTTGAATTCCTCAAGATAATACAATTAGCCTATACACAAGAAAACAGGAGTTACTTATAATTTAGCATGCTAAAACCTGAGTGTGTTTATTTACTGCAATGTTATACCACTACAAACACAATAGAGCATTTTCTTGCTATATATATATATAATATAATATTATTTGAGTCTTTTATCATTCTACTGTTTGAAGACATTGTCTATTCTTAGCTAGTGTATGCCCCTTGGTTCTTGTAAGATCAACATGTTCGTCATCCAAGGTTTCCATGTTGTTGTCACATAAGAATTGGTTGGCTTTGTCAATATTTGTTTGCACTGTGTGAACATGTGTTATGACCTTTAGCTCCTGGAATAGGGGATTGCAAAGTAATTTGTCAGCAGCACTTGTTTCACAACTTTGACCACGTTTCAACTCAATAAGATTATCCCTGGTCCCAAGCACTTTTTAGAAAGGAACACTGTTATCTGCAACAGCATTTCCAAAGAGAAACGTATTAGAAACCTACAGGTAGTAAGTGTTCATTTATTCAAAGAAGATATTTAAAAAGTTGGTGCAGGTTCTTGCTTTTACATACCCACAGTACACTCACATATACCTGCCTTTGAATAAAGCAAATGTCAACTATAATCCTTATGAGCATGCATGTGATTGTTTTGTTGACCACCAAACCGGTTCCCCTATTTGGAGCATAAATGTGAATTCCAAATGTCAGTGTTTCACAAATCGATCTAAACCCAGTTGACCCAGTGAAGTGGGGCAAACTCCTGACCTCTTTCTCTATACTTATCTTTTCAGTATAATATCTTGTTAACCTCAGTATATTGCAGCAGTAGCAGTAAAGTTATCTGATAAGAGTCCAAACCAAATTGTAAAGATAATGTCACTGCTTTTCACCACAGATTCCAAAGACAGTGGCAGTGGTCTATATGTTATAGTTTGCATGTGTTATAATTAGTTGGAAATCCTGTTTTTGTACTGAAGTTTTTTCTTCAGTGTTTTCCAACAGAGACACCAACAATAGTTTAGCTAATGGGCCTCTTGACCGTGGTAATTATTTAACCACAGTGGTTTAAGCTTGTCTAGTAGAGAGTAAAGTGAAATAATTAGTTACAACACTTTTAAAATAGAAGTATTCACCAGATTTGTAGGAATGACAAATATCCTACGTGTTATCAAAATAATCCAGTGAGGCCTAATGACATCTGTATATCTTAATGATTTTTTGTTTTACTGATATTTAAGTCCAAATTTAAAACTCATAATGAAAACTATATACTGTCCTTTTCCTTTCCAGGCCACTTCCCTAACAAGGCCATGCCCTCAGCAGGTACCCTGCCCTGGGTACAAGGCATCATCTGTAACGCCAACAACCCCTGCTTCCGTAATCCTACCCCTGGCGAGAGTCCTGGGGTGGTGGGAAACTTCAACGATTCGATGTGAGTAATGGCCCTCTAGCTGTGCATTGATTGCGTAATCAGTACACAGCTTTGACTGATTCACGTAGTGCATTAACAAATTAGTTTTAATATTACAATCTTTTTATCGACGTAACAAAATTGAGTATGTAAAATAGTGTGTAAAATTTTTTTCTGTTCCTTTTTCAAACATCACCAGAATCTCCCGTCTGTTCAATGATGCCAAGAAGATCCTGCTGTACACCCAGAATGATAAAAGCTACGAGGGCTACAAGGGACTGTTAAGGGCCCTCAGGAAGATGCAGAAGAACACTGCTCGTAAGGACATGACTTTGATGTTTTGCTTCATATGAGTTATGCTAAGTTTTTGAATGACCAACTGATAGATCAGTTCAGTCACCTGCCCATTCACATTGATCACCCAGCCATTCATTTTTCTCGCCTGTAGAGTCATTTATATAGAAAGGAACACTCCTACACAACTGCTCATGCCGATCAGATCTAACTGTCTCAGTGACTCACACCTGCAGTTTATTCACACATTGCAGTTCAGCTTCAGGTCAGTAAATGTTTAGGTTCATGAAAACATGTTTCCCAATGAAGCAAGAACAAGAAGTTGTCAAGATAAATGTGGAAAAGAAAGTTGGTTGTTCATTCTTATAACCATTCAGCTACCTGAAATGGTGGCTACATGTCCTATATGTTGAAATATTCCAAGACATTATTTTAGTCTCCACAAAAGCCCCAACTCTAAAAATACTTGTTTCCAGTGTAGTTGTAATCTTCTGGATTTATATTTTTAAAAAAGATTGAAGCATGCCACTTAACTACTACAAAGTGAATGAAGTTTAAATCATTACAGATCAATACATTAACAAAATACCAATAAGCAACATGTTTAAACTAGATAAAGTGACATAAGGTCAATTTTGCAGTGCAGCAGCTGATGGAGCCGATGTTAGCTCTAAATCTTCAGAGCAGTCTCGAAAGTGCAACGTGTCCTTTCCTTATCACTGCCTGTCAGCCGCGGTGGGCCCACTCCCAGAGGCCAGTGTGTGTTGAACTTCTCTGTTCTTACGTGCCAGTCGTGGTGATACAAGACAGGAAAAACAGAAAATTGTGCACCACCCGGGCAATCATTGTACAGATCTGTCAGAAAATTTCATCCATCTAAAGTTGCTGCTTCCTGTCTGTGAGGACGAGGTCACAGACATGATAATGTTACCAACGCATTTAATGATTATTTTAATTTCAATATTGCTAGAGAGGAAGATTCATCCTTTTTTTTTGAGTAGAGAAAGGTCATCTTTCTAAAATGACATCTTTTTGATGACTCCACTGTGCTGACTCGGTCAAAGCGACCCAAAAAATAGGAAAGAGGGTTGTGTTGAACTCTGCACTTACTTTCTTTTGAATAGAAGTCACAAAGACAAACATATTAACTTTGCTCAATGAAAAAAAAACTTTTCCGTCATTTTAATTCAGTGCCCATTACTCTGACGTGGGAGGCATGCAGTCTCTGTTTTCCAGCCAACCACGTGTACAGAGACAACCAGGACAAAAATAAATGTTAAAAACATGAATACTGTATAAAATGGGGCATTATGACACAGAGGGCAGGAACAGTAAACAGCAGTGACATAACTGAGGGAGTCTAATTAGTAATTAGACAGTATGGCCTTTTGTTTGTTCCATTAGTGCTGCCTTGGTGCAGCAGAACTTTCTCTGATACACATGTGATAATCAGTCCTTTTAGTTTCTATAAATAAAGCAGTATTGGCTTGGTTTCACATCAGACCTCAAGGTAAGGGTAAATTCATCAGAATGTAGCATCAGAAATTATGCAACAAAACAATCAAGCTTCTTGTTTTGGCCACGGTCTGCTCCCTTAGCCCAGAGGTACAGTATGTTACGCAATGGTCCTACATAGCACGTTATTTTTAATTGTAGAAAATCCTAAATTTGCATGTCTCTCAGTTTGATGTGTGCTATTGTGTGCTGTAGTTTCTATTGGTCTTGTCAGCAGTATACATTACAGCCAGTAATAGATCTTCATCTTATCTACTATCATTACATTTAAGCTGGAATGGTCAGATCCAGGGGTCTGCATGGATTTTTCCCCCTTTTTTTCATTCAGGCTTGTTTATTATTTCAATGAGGCTTCTGTGCATCTGAGCACTTTATCACAATTGATTTCAAAATGCACAGTGCAGTAGTGCTTAATCACATATTCAATCCACGTAAGGGAATGCACTGTTGTAGCACGGGCACATTCATGTATGATGCAGGAGACAGCAGACAGAGTAGTGCTGATACAGAGTGATGCTGTAGGAATAACAGCATGGATCAAAAAGCTGAGAGTGGAGCCCCTCACGTGTCTGTTAATAATTCAACAACTGATGGGGTCAGCGAATGAGATTTACACTGACAGGGAAGGGGCACTGCGAGGGGCCATGAAAGGGATGAGCTTTTTCCCCCCATAGGATAAGTAGATAAATCACACAGGACATATTTTCATTTAATCAGGTCTAATGCATTTCTGCTATGTGAGAGTGCACAGAAGGACATGGCAGATAGACGAAAGGGAGAAAATAGACTTTCAAAAAAGAGGGATGCAACATTTTCGAGATTGAGAAAGTTTTCTTGATAGAAAATAAGTGAGTGAGATAAATATGGTATATCATCAGTGTAGAGCTTTTCATGTACCTCTACCTGTCTTCACAAAAGAAAGTTGAAGGTGGATTTGCATAATAGAGAACATCTTACATTTTTAGCCTTTCATTTTTTATCCGACAGGCTGCTTTCAAGGTCTCCATTTGACTTAAAGGCCTGTCGTGTCTGAGCCTGGTCTTTTAAAATGGAGATTTCTGAATTTCTGATTTCTTTTTGCATTTTTGCATTTTTTCTTGAATGTACATATTACTCAAGATCGTATAGACACACACAGAACCTTCATCTATTTTTTCTCCAACTCTCCACATCAAAACAGTACATAACAGTCCTTCCATTACACAGCCATTTTGTGGGTTGATTTCTCTGCTGTCAGAATTCATGCAGCAGCCATCTTTTGTCACTTAGACAAAGACAAAACTTCAGGAATGCTATTTAATGCTTTTTAGCTCATCTGTGGCAGGTTTGGGAATATGGTTTAACAGCAATCACAGTCTGCTTATAGACCAGTTTTACCAGTGATGACACTGGTTGCTAAGCGTTATTTCAAACAGGATAGGCACCACCTAGGAGCATGTACAGACTTGTAAGTGTCAATGTAGGGTTTGCCCTCGTATCCAGCTGGCTTAAACATTGGAAAAGCACACACAAACAAACACAAATAAGGTTTGTTACTTCTTATGTTGTCTCACTTAGAAAAAACCTCTCTGTTGCTGATAACTCCGGGGATTTAGATCACTTAAGCTGTGCAGATAATGACAACCACATACAGATAAGATACAATAAGGAAATGAAAAACACACATACAAACACACAACCACCTTTGCTGACTAAACAAAGAACTGTAAGACTTTCAGTCTGGTCTGTCCTCAAGGGCCTTTGGATGCAATGCACCATGGGAGCTGTGACTTCCTACTGGGACACTGATTAGACCTTATTAGCACTCCCTGGTTGTTCACCCCTGAGAATTGAGGTCACACACATGCATACGCAGTCACAGGTGCACTATTATGCACACACACACACACATATGTGTAACGCACACTCACATCCCAACCGCAAATAGCACACTTGTCTACACCCATTGCGGTAAGGGAGAGCGACATGTGCCCCACACAGAAACACACTGTTCTCTTTCACTTCCTCCCATGGGATGTTCAGTGCAGTCGAAGCGTTCAAAGTGTTTCCTCTGTGTGCGTGTGTTGGTCATCTGATAGCTAGAAATGACAGAAAGTGGAATATTTTTACTGGATACGAAGGGAAGGGAGCACAATGGGGGGGGGGGGGGGTAGAAGTAAGCAGCGCAGCAAAATAAAAGTAATTATTCAGTCTTTGTCAAAATAATTTATTTTATTAATCCAGGGCAGTAGGATAAATAATCAGTTAAGTTTGATACATGAAGCCATGCTAACATAAAAGTGTGTAGTCACAACTAGTGTGAGGATGGAGAGAAGGTCAAGACGGAGAAATTTAGGGAGGAAGCACGAGAGATAGAGTGAGTAAGAGATTGGTGGGCAATATCTGGGCCAAAGTGGAAAGCCCTGCAGTAACCCTGCCTGAGAACAAAACTCAGAGCGTGTGTGTGCGCGCGCGTGCCAACCACACAGCTGACTCAGGCCAGTTTCAGAAATGGTTTGACTTCTTTGGAATGCAACAAAAGTACAAAAAGCTCTCAGAGTGCACAGTGTGTGCCTGTGTTAATGAAGTTCAGAATTAAAATATATCATTTGATTTGGAATCAATGCTTTAATTCAAATGTATTTTTATCATCTTAGTTTGAGCCCACTAATCATTGGTGTATTACATATGGTGGTTGTCCTTGAGCATTAAATCATGGAGTTCTTACACTGGGGTTTTCCACTGGTTGTACATCTGTGGAAGCTAAGGAAATTGTATGACGTCTGCTCAGGACAAGCAATTGTCTGGGAATTTGATCAGAATTTTACAAGTACAGGCAGGGATATATTTTATGACTTGTTTTACATGGTCATTGCATGAGACCATAGTTTTCAGCCCACTTTATCGTAAGAAAAGAAATTGAATTTTACTGTGTATTACACTGGGAACACTGCTTTGACTCCTGCTTTTTTGTATCAAATGGGGTTTTATTTATATCTCATAGTTGATTAACTCAGTGCTTGAATGTCTTTGTTTTCTAGGTTTCAAGCT